TCTCTGTGAGATCGAGGCTAGCCTGATGTACTTAATGAGTTCTAGGCCAGCCGGGGCTGCAGGAGTCCCTGTCTCAAAAAGCAAAACACACACACACACACACAACCATGCACCATTATCTTATCCTATACTTAGACCGTTATCTTGTACACAAAGCATTAATGTTTTAAAATGGAAAAGGTAATGGGATCTAAATAGAAGTGAAATTTGCACACATCACTCAAACTGGTAAATTAAAAAAATATAGTTTATTCTTTTTCTGAGGATTTATTTTGATCATATTCAGGCCCTATCCATCTCCTCTCAGATCATTCCCATCTCCCACCCCCACTTCGTCTTCTTTATTTTTTTAAGGCCTATCAGGTCTAATACTCTTGGATGTGAGTCTTTCCCCTGGAGTGTGGTCAACCTAAAAAACTGGTAAAATACTGACACCAGTGCATTGTTGTGCTTTGTGCAATGCTCAGAGCAACGACTATGAAAACTCTGAAGATATGTATTTTAACACACTCCAAACAAATAAAGTTAAAACATCAAAATATTGAGCTATCAGAAAGGCAAGAAAGAGAAAACAAGGAATAAGAACAAACAAACAAACAAACAAAAAACCCAAACACCGAAGAAATAATAAGCCGGGCTTGTTGGCATAGGCCTTTATTCCCAGCACTTGGGAGGCATTGGCAGGTGGATCTCTGTGAGTTCAAGGGCAACCTGGTCTACATAGTGAATTACAGGCTAGCTGGGGCTACAGAGACACCCTGTATAAAAAAGACCAAAAAAAAGAAAGAAAGAAAGAAAGAAAGAAAGAAAGAAAGAAAGAAAGAAAGAAAGAAAAGATAATGAAATGACATACCTGAGTGCTGACCTACAAATAAGTATGTTGATATGAAGCTATATGAGAGCTAAATCTAACTATATGCTATTAAGAGAAATTCACATTAAATCAAACGATTGACAGAAAAAGGATAGAAAACAGATACACAAAGCAAGCATTATTTTTTTTAACTTGGACCAGCTATATGAATATTTGATAAAGCAGACTTCAGAGCAAAGAAAACTAGCCACAGAATGACATTGCCTAAAAATAACAGACACAATACAGCAGGACTGCAAAATGAGTCTCAATGTGTCCATACCAAACAATACACTCTCAAAATAAATGGGCAAAAACTGAGAGAGCTAGAATGAGAAAGAGGCAAACCCACAAATACAGTTGAGAACTTCAACATCCTCCCCCTGGAAACAGGTAAATCTATTACATAGGATAAATCTGTTAAATAGAACATCAACAAGAATATGGGCTATCTGAGAGAAAACCATATAATAGGATCTATCTTGATTTAGTCATGGTGATTTGTTTTGTCTTTTTTAAAATTTGTGGTGCTGGGGATTGAACCCAGTGCCTTGTGTACAGTAGGCATCATGGTGTATTAAATTACATATTCTTATAGAAACCATGCCATCCAACAATAGCAAAATGAATTTTTCCCCAAGCACCTATAAAACATTGACAAGAGAGACCATTCATTTGACCATAAAACAAACCTAAACAAATTTAAAATAAGTGAAATTATACAAAGCATGTACTTTCAGAACAATTTGGTCAAATTAGAAACCAATAACCAGAGCCTGAGGTTGTAGCTTAGTGGTACAACGCTTACTTAGCATGCACAAGCCCTGTGATCAATCCTCAACACCACAAAAAAGTATTGATATATCTCAGAAAGCTTACTTTATGTGAAATGTTTCTATCTACATTTATGGTATTGGAAGTTAAAACTAAAAAAAAAAAAAGAAAAATACACTACATATGTTCCGTTAGTCACTGAGTAAGTGACAATTGTTTGTCTTATAGATTTTGCAGTATACAGTTACTTCCACTGTATACCCATGAAAGGATGGATGCTTAAAAGAATACTAACATCTTAGTGCTCTCATGACTATAACTTAGATCTTGCAAGGTATATTGCATACATACAAAGTAGTCTGACTCACACCAGTTTACCCAGAATTTTCCTAGTTTTAGCCTTGAAAACCCTAGAAAAGCCAGCATGTTTTGCCTGTGATTTATCCCGTCTTAAAACTAAATGTCCATGTTTAAGGAATATTATTTTTTTGTTACAATATTTTTTGCTTTTTATTGAAGTTGTGCAATTTTCATACACTATACTTTTGATGACATTTAGATCTTCTTCTCTCTCCCCACCTCCCTCCACTGCTCCCCACCCAATTTAATGAACTCTTGCATATATACATATATGCCTATAGTGTATGATTTGTGTCCCCCAATATCCTTCAGTGTGGGTCCATCCACTGGACCCACCAAGAGTCCCAATCCTGTAAGACATTGTTTTTCCCCTTCCTAGCAGCCACTAATTGCCAGTTTAAGAAACACTCTTGATCCACATTCTTGATTCTGGGAAATCTGGGTTGGTTGATCTCTATACTTACTGGCCTTTTGATGTAGCTGGACAAGATTGAGAAGCCGTGTGTAATGTGACCCTCACACATGAGTTCCCAATTCATTGTTGTTACCTCACAATCACTAGAATTTGACCATCTTTACATCATAACTTAACGAAATTTAGAAACCCTTGCCTCCACTGTCTGCTCATTTTTCCTGTATGTCTCTCTCTATCCTCTTTTCATTTTGGAGTCTCTACACAAGATGTATTTGCATTTTGTGAGGAAAGTGTTACCAGAATGCAAGTATGTACTATTAATTTTCTGTTGATTGCCTTTTCAGGTCAGGTTAGTATGGTACAGGTGACCATCCCAGACAGTTTCGTGAATGTGACTGTTGGATCTAATGTCACTCTTCTCTGCCTCTACACCACCACTGTGGCATCCCTGGACAAGCTTTCCATCCAGTGGTCATTCTTCCACGAGAAGGATATGGAACCAACTTCTGTAAGGATTCTTTCTCTAATTATTCCCCCTTAGTAGTTCTGACTGAAATCTTTTGAGGTAGGTGTGTGAAGAAATGATAGGCCAGTGAGAACAGTGACAAAATTTTAGAAACAGAGTTTGAAGATAGATGTTTAGGGAAAACCATCATCAAACTGAACTGGTTGTTGTGCTCTCATATTTATTTATATATTTATCTCTATTTTGTATAGTTAACATTGTATCATGTATTCTAGAGTAGACAGAAGTGAGCATTCTCATAGGTCAGAGGAGCAGTAGTTCTGAAAGCACAATCTCCAATAGCTCCCTATTATTTCCAGAAGATTCCAGTTCAAATGCAAGTGCTAGTGGATCTGAAGGTCTCTGTCTAACTTAATAATTGGGATCTGTTTGTCAAGGGAATTAGCTCATTATTCCAAATGGAGTCCTGATAGTATGGGGTTTCCCACGTTGGTGGAGAAGGGTCATGGCAGCAATGAACCCTGTGTAATCAATGACAGCATGAGGTTAGAAAACAGAGGATGGAACAAGTAGTCAAAGGGTTTGGGAGAAGTTGCCAGGTCAGGGTGAGTGAACGCCTATGGGGAAGGATGATTCCACAGGCAAATTCTCTATTCCCAGATTTTCTTCATTTTTCCTTGAGTGTAACTCCTTTGTGCAAATTACAAGGACTAAATTGTATACACAGAGGTGTGCATGTACTTCTGTGCACATGTGTGTGCAAACATGCACCTCATTCATGCTTCCACACATTCCTTGAGGAATGTGGCCTATAGTTTTCATCAAGTTCTCAAGATGAGGAATGATACTACATAGAGAAGAGATCAACTGATGCGATTTGAAATAGTCAGATGCAGGGTCTGGAGAGGTGGCTCAGCAGTTAAGAACACTGGTTGTTCTTGCAGAAGACCCAGGTTTGAATCCTAGCACCCACATGGCAGCTAACAACTGTCCATAACTCCAGTTCCAGGGGATCTGACAGCCTCTTCTGTACTCCACAGGCATTGCACGACATGGGTGCACTTAACCTACATGCAGGCAATATATGTATACACATAAAATAAAAATAATAAAATAAAATAAAATAAAATAAGTCAGATGCAGCTGACTTGGGCTTTGAAGGTGTCCTAGTTTGTCTCTCCATTGCTGTGACAATACACTCAGACCAATACCAACTTTGGGAGGAAACAGTTTATTTTATCTTACATCTCCTGGGTCACAGTTCATCAGGAGGCCCAAGGTAGGAACTCAGGGCAGGAACCTGGAGGCAGGAGCTAGAGCACAGGCCATAGAGGAATGCTGCTTACTGGCTTGCTCTCCTGGACCCTGCTGAGCTTGCTTTCTTATGCAACACAGGCCCACCTGCCCAGGGTGGCACCACCCACAGGTTGCTTTTACTTAGATGACAGTACTCCTATGATCTTCTATTACTTTAAAAATTCAATTTCTGACTAGTCTTTTTAACACATTCCTCATCATTATACTTGAAGTCCTTCTCATTTTTACAGTGGGGGTTGAATTCAGAGAGGCCTCAACATCTTTTGAAATGTCTTACACTTGATACTCAAATCAAGATACCCTAAACTTCCTGGAGGTCAAAGTGAGTCTGAGCTCAAGAGTGCAAATTCTTCTGTATGCATCCTCTACTGGAATTCGCAGAGCCATTTCTTGGTCACACTGTGTAGTTATCAAGGTACGAGGGGAGAATTGCAGGGCCAAAGATGTTGTGACCAGCTATGAACTCTTTCCAGGAAGAGAATGCAGATGATTGTAGTAAGTATGGCTTAAGTGCAGAACTTCTCTTAGAATAGCTTTAAAAAGAAAATCTAATGAATAAGTATTTAGATTTGATTATTGACTTGCCATCTGCCTCCTTCTCCAGAAAGGTCTAGGTGCAGCAAGTCATTTAAGATACGCATTTTTGGGGCTGGAGAGGTGGCTTAGTGGTTAAGAGCACTGGCTGCTCTTGCAGAGGATCCAGGTTCAATTCTCAGCATCGATGTGGTGGCTAACAACCGTCAGTTCTGGGGGTATCCAGTTCTGGGGGAATCTGATGCCTTTTTCTGACCTCCACAGACATTGCACAACCTGAGTGCACTTACAAATATTCAGGCAATACATTCATAACATAAAATAAAAACAATAAATAAAATATTTTAAAAACATATGTATTCTTTTGGATGCAATCGAATGAGGTCTGCTGCATGAACTGCTGGATCAGGGAAAGACCCCTGATCTGAAAAATGCACGAGATAGGTGTTACACATGTATTTTAGCCCTGTGGATGACAAGCTTGAGGCTAAGAAGGGTGAAAAACACCCACCAAAACACAAAATTTTTCCTGTCTTGCTTTAGGGTATACTCACCAGACCCCCTTACAACATTCTTTGGGTTGTAACTACTTCTAGATAACTAGATCTCCTCTCCTTTCATACCTTGCAAAGATGCTTTTCTTTGGGATTAGTTTAGAGTCCCAGTGGAAACCTCTGGATGGATGTCAGCTCCACACCTTTACTTGCTGGCTGCATGACTTCAGACAAGTCACTTTTCCATTTAGAAATTCAGTTTTCCCATCTGTGAAATGGGGCTACTCACCTACTTCATAGCTTTAATGAAGAGATTAAAAGAGATGACGCTTGTGAAGCATCAGGAAGCCTTCCACACTGCAAACATTCAGTAAATATGAACTATTATTATTAGTGTCGCCACTCATAAAACGTAATGTGGGCAAATCATTTTCTCACCCATATCCCAGCTATACCAGAGAAACTAGAGAACGGACACAAGGGAACTCAGTCTAATACTTGTTATAACTGATCAGCTGGGACAGAGCACTTTAGGGACTTCCTGGCATTGGGCTTCCTTTTCTACTCCCTACCAGGTCTCTAATGGCTAGAGGGAGGGCCCAGATCTCATTCTCTGCATCTTTGAGCAGAATCTGTTTGGTTCAGGAATTGCAGACTTCCTGGGTTGAGATAGTATTTTTCAAAATAGAATTTGGCGTTCATTTCAAGTGCATTTCCTCTTTGAGCATTTCTGTGCTTTCTAAATTCTGCAGAACATATTGTATGTTAATCTAGTGAATGCTGGTGGGATATTTTGGGAATGTTAAAAACAGACTGATAGGCTAGAGATATAACTCAGTTGGTAGAGTGCTTGCCTAGCCCTGAGGTCACTCCCTAGCACCACATGTTGTACCTCATCCACTGGACCCCAAAAAGACCACTGAGGACCCAACACACCAAAATGCAAAAGCAAAGGTTTATGGTTTATTCGGGCTTAAGCTCGGGCTCTCAGACCTCACCAACTCAACAGATCCGTGCTGAGAGCCCAGAGTAAGGGAGAGTGGAGCCTTTTATAGGTTTTAGACAAAGAGAGGAGGGGGATACCAAAGATACATTTTGGTTGCTTCAAGGATCCCACGCTCGCGCACCAACATAATTTTAAACTGATTGGATGTATAAGATGCAGCCCTGGAAGTTTCTTATTGGTAGGCGCTATTCTCAGGGCTGTGGAATGTGCTGACTGTTATCTGTGGGGCCAGGAGTCTCTGTTTTTACCTTATAAGGCAGTTTTCATCTCCGGGCTTGCTTAATCTATAGTTTCCTGGAAGGGGGGGTTCACAGGGGGAGTAGGGTATGACAAGGCATGTCTAGGCATGTCTAAACAGCAGCCAAGCATTTTACAGAAGCTAAAAGAGCAATTAGTGGAGGTCTGGAGGGATTGGAGGGTAGCGGGTGAATGAAGAGGGTCTCAGGGTCCTACACACATAAACCAGGCACGGAGGTGCATGCCTGTAATCTTAGGCCCCCAGGAGGTGGAGGTAGAAGGATCAGAAGTTCAAGGTCATCTTCAGGTAAATAACAACTTAGAAGCCAGCCTGAGATAGATGAGATGCTGTCTCAAAATATAAATAAATAAATAAATAAATAAATAAATAAATAAATAAATAAATAGACTGCTGTTTTTAGAACATTCTGTGACATATGGGAGTAGGATGTTGCCAGCCTGACCATTGAGTGATCTAATTCAACTCCTGGATTGATGTGGCAGTATACCATGTAGCATTCAGCTCTCAGATCCACCCATTTCTGCTCAAACACAGCATGGCCCGTGCCTCAATACTGAGAGTATGAAGGAAAAGGCAGTCAGTCAGTGTCTAAAAGTGGTGCATTCAAGAGACGCTCGGGGAAGATGTAGCTGGACTTCTCAGGTAAGAACACCTGTTGGTGTACTACCAGACCCCCTTGATTATTTACAGTCTAGGGCATTGCCTCCTGCTTCAGAAGTGGGATGGAAGGGTTTGGGTTGGATAACAATACAGATCTGCACAAGCCCTTGACAAATCTGAGAAAGTTTGTTGTTTTGGTTTGGCTTTTGAGGCAAGGCCTTGCTATGAAATACAGGCCTTGAACTTACAACCCTCCTGCCTTGGTCTCCTAGAAAATGAAATTATAGGTATGTATCATCATGCCAGCAAAAACTGGAGAAATAGGGGCTGGAGATATGGCTCAGCGGTTAAAAGAGCTTGCTGTTCTTGCATAGGACCTGAGTTAGGTTTCCCGTATACATACAAGTAGCTCACAATTACTTGTAATTCCAACTCCAGTGGGTCCAATGCCCTGTTCTGGCCTCTGAGTACTTGCATTCATATAAACATAACCACACACAGATAGACATGCATAATAATAAAAAATGAAATAATAAAAACTAGAGAAGTTTGGAGTTTACAATCTCATGTCAATGTTGGCACTCTTAATCCTCCACCAAAAGATTCAGGGCCCTGTTGCTCTGATGAGGCTAATGGCCAGCTCTTGTCACATGTTCATCTTCTCCTCAAAATCATTGTGATAAATAGTAATTGAGTCTGAGTGGCAGATGAAGTGTCTCATTAAATGTCCTCTCTAGGAGTCCCTTCAGTGCATGGGAATTGCATATCCCACAAATTCTCTAATCCAGAGAAAGGATATTCATTAATATGTTCCTCTTAGAGATGTTCCCCTGTCAGAAAATATGGACAACTTCATATAATCCCTCAAGAGGGAAGTTCCACTGAAAACTCACCTGCTACAGAAAGGCTAGCATGGACGTTTTGGTTATCTGGTGCCCAGCTAGACATAGATGCTTCCTTTTTCCATTCAGCTTTTTATTGCTAAAACCAGAGAGAACAAGAGCTGGAAAGATAGCTCAGCAGTTAAGAGCACTGGCTCCTTTTGCAGAGGACCTGGTTCAGTTCCCAGCACCCACAGGGAAGCTAACAATTGACCGTAATTCCAGTTCTAGGGGAGTCAATGCCATCCTCTGACCTCTACAGGCATTTCACACATGTGGTGCACTTACATACATGCAGGCAAAACACGCCCTTAAGATAAAAAATAAATAAAATATTTTAAAAAGACTAGAGAAAATACTTGCCCATGAGCAAAATGCAATTCATCCTGCTTAGCCTAAGTCTGTTAGATAACATTCTTCTAGAGTAGTTGTAATGGAAGAAACCCTTTGCTATCCTCATATCCATTACTCATGCATAATTTGGACAACTTTTCCTCCAGAATTTACTGTCTTCATGTTTTCTGACTTCTCTGATTTTTAAACCTATAGGTAGCATTATATCAAATGCTTCTCTAATGTTTCTCTCTCTCTTTCTCTCTCATTCTGTGCGTGTGTGTGTGTGTGTGTGTGTGTGTGTGTGTGTGTGTGTGTGTTCCATCGCTTCAGGGGAATTTAGTAATGGAGAGGACATTGATTTGTGTTTTAGGACTTAGAGTCTTTACGGGCATTTGCTGGCTAAAAATATTAAATGTTCTGTAATATATACAACAGATTCAGTTCACACAAGTTGTTTGCCCAAAATGCTAGTGCCACTATCATGGAGGAACACTACAAATCTTCCATCTCTTCCCACTAAAGTTTATCCATTCTGAGTTTCATTCTCTCAGGTTGCTATACTTGCTAAATCTGGTAAATGAATCTAAGCCTAAGATGTTAGGGAGTGGTGCTAGCTTCTGTTGTTCTTTGCTGAAGAAATATACTTAAGCAGGGATCTTCTGTGATTTTATCCAAAAGTAGCATGAAGTAGTCACCCAAATGGTGGACAGCTCAGGCCATTGGCAGGCTGGTAAAAGGGTGGTTTGGGGAAAGAGAGTCTTTCTGGGGTATTCTATTTCCATCATGTACAATCTCAGCCTCCACAGTACAAACCAGAGAAAATTCTGGACTTGAGACTTTGCTACCTTCCAACCCATGGCTAGCTGCTTTATGAGCAGCACCAGAAAGCAAGGAGCTGGAAGGGCTGAAAAGGAAAGAATGTGTGGTTTGCTGTGGACTTCCAGGCTTCTCCATCTCCCAAAGGAACCTGGAAAGCAGTTCTAGAAGCTAACATTTAGTAACTCCAACTCAGACTGAAATAAAAAGCAGATGGGATTCTTTCAGCCTTCTTGCTTATATATCAAGAGTCTAGTTTGAGAGCAGTGGTGCAAAGTTGAAGAAACAACTGGCTGCCAGCTGCACAGCCTTGTGTGAGTAGAAACTTGGCATGCTAGGCAGAGAAAGGCTGCTATGTAAAGAGGCCAGGAGCCTGCAGTTCAGCTGGCAAATGTGGAGGGCATCATGCGGCAAACCAGCTCAGCATAGGAAGCACCAGGTCAACAGCAACTGGAAAGAGGTAGGAGGGGAAAGTGGAATAAGTAATGGAATGACCGTAAAGGGTGAGGCAAATCATGCCCCGTGTCTTGGGCAGGACTGACTACTATCTTAATGCATACAGTGGGAATCAGGAGGCTTAGATACTAGGACTTACTATGATTTTATTGTGTGACCCTGGGAAGACCACTTCCTCTATCAGGGCCTCAGTGTCCTCTGTAATAGAGGAAGATGAATCAGAGTTTGCAAACTGGAGGCCTCTGGGCATCAGTTGGCCAAAAGATGTATTTTGTGTTGCCAGGTCAGTATTTTGCTTGTTTTACCATAGTCCCCTCTATTCTTTATACACCTACTCCCAGTCTCTGCCCCCAGCCACTTCCTTTATTTTCAGTATCCAGCTGGCTTCTGAAGGATCCTACATCTTAGTAATATAAACTAAGTGATCTCAAAGGGGATCTTATAACTAATGTGCTTTCGCGACCCCACCCATAACCCTCCAATACCACAAAGAGGGCAGGAAAAGAGGACATTCCTTGTCCTCAATTCCTCTGACCTGAAAATTGGCAATATTCTTTCTTTGCAAAACATGTAAGCTACATAATGTCATTGGCTGGACCTTGGCCATTATTCATCTTCGATATATTTATTTTTTTAGCTTTGAATTTTATGTGCTATTCTTTTGTAGAAAATGGAATCAAATTGTAGTCCTTCCAGAGTGATTAGATAAGCAGTTTGAGGAAAACATTCCTTTTTCTCTTTACAAGGACAGTGTTAACACTGGACTTCCCCAAGCAGAAAGCCCCTCCTCCATCTCTATGCCTGGCAGCTACCTAGTGCTTGGGACTTTTCTCACACAACACTCTGAGATCAAGGCCTTTCCCTTTTAGGTCTCTTTTCTTATCCCTTTAGTGTCTTCTGTGAGGGGGAATAATCGATTAGACTGCAGCATAAGGAGCTGAATAGAAGAGGGTGCTGAAAGGCTGTTTCATGGTTAAGTTACATGTTCAAGGCCTCATTGCTTATCTATTAACTTTACCTTGGTTCATGTCCTACTAGGAGGCTTTTGTAGTTGTTTCTTATTTAATTTATTATTTTTATTTTATGTGTATGAGTGTTTTGCCAGTATGTAATTGCACCCGTGTCGTGCAGTGCCTGTGGAGGTCAGAAGAGGGCATCGAATCCCTTGGAACTGGAGTTACAGACAGTTGTTAGCCACCAGTGGGTGCTGGGACTGAACCTAGGTCCTCTGTGAGAGAAGGCAGTGCTCTTAATTGCTAAGCCATCTCTCCAGCCCTGGTTGCTTCTTTCTTTTAATTTTTGAAATTTCATTTATTTCTTTATGTGTTAATTTATTGAGAAGGAGTCTCCCCCACGCAGCTCAGCCTAGCCCTGTGCTTGCCATCTTCCTGCCTCTGCCTCCTGAGTGCTGGGATTCCAGTCTATGTGCTACCATGCCTGGTCTTAGTTCCTCTTTTCCATATCCTAGTCCTAGGCCAAAACATACTATTGGACCCTGATCTCTACAGAATCAAGGTCCTTTCACCTGGACCCTCTAAGGACTTACTGAGAATACTAGGGAGGATTGATGTATCTCATTGTGACATCATCAAACATCAGCATAAATGAACTGCCTCCTGGGAGCAGAGGAGGTGGCCAGATGCTTAGGGTGTGAAGGGCTTCCTTGATGGGTAGTAGACTGTGTTCCAGGTAAGAGGCAACAGGATCTCACACTGTCCATTAGTAAGTAAATTGGCTTAGTGTTGTTTATTAATCAAGGTAAAAGACTTTTGATAAGTTGAATCTCTCCCTGCCTCATTTGGAAAACTTTCTGGTTTGTAAGTCAAACAACACTACCTTGGGGTTAATTTCAGCAGGCATGAATGAATGAATGAATGTATTTTACAGGGCCCTGTTTAGGACAGGAAAGAATATTAGACAAACCAAAGGAGAATAATGTTGTTTTCACTTTAATTGCGCTCATTTCTTTGAATTTTCCTTCAAAATTATTTTTGATCTTGCTTTAAAATATATTGCCTTTCTGCTTAATGGAGAAGATGTATGAATTCAACTAGACAACACATTTGAGGGTGGGGGTTGACTATTTTCTCTTTTAAAATTTTTAAAATTTATTTTTATGAGTGTTTTGCCTGCATGTATGTAATGGACCCATGTGTGCAGGGCCTACAGGGGCCAGAAGAGAGTGTTGGATGCCCTGGAACTGGAGTTGTAGACAGTTGTTAGCCATCATGTGAGTTCTGGGAACTAAATCCTGGTCCTCTGCAAGAGCAGTCAGTGCTCTTAACTGCTGAGTCATTTCTCCAGCTCCACATTTTCTCTTTTTAAGACCAGCTGGGTAAAGTGTACTGGGCAAAGAATTAGGTGAAGTAGCTTCTACTCTTGTTCTAAGTAGCTTCTACTCTTGTTCTAACTGGTTTTGTGGTGTTTCCTGCTCCCCCCCGCCTTTTTGTCATGCTGAAGACAGAACTTAGGGCACTGTACACGCTAGGCAAGGGCTGTACCACTGAGGTTCATCCCCACTTTCTTAGCTTCAGTTACTTCTAGAAAGTGAGGGTAGTGAATGAACCGAACTGGAAGGCCTTGCTAGCAGATTTTATGAAAATAACTCATCTCACTAGACTAAGGCCATCCCAATCTATTGAACATAAACACCAATCACTGAATGACATATTTATATTGTTACCAAAGTATGTACATAGGATATGTATATTATGAAGAGAACTTGGGGATTGCCTAGTTTAGTGAGTTCCAGCTTTCGGTCACTTATGTACCATCCGCAGAATTTTTGCCTACTTGAGTATCCCCAGCATGATTATTTAATGTTTTCTATGCTGACTACAAGTTTGTGTGTTGTTTTTTGTTTGTTTGTGTGTGTGTGTGTGTGTGTGTGTGTGTGTGTGTGTGTTTTGGTCTTTTGAGGCTTGGTCTTCCCATAATCCCAGCTGGCCTAGAACTCCCAATGTAGACCAGGCTGACCTCAATCTCACAGAGATCTGCCTACCTCTGCCTCCTGAGTGCTGGGATTAAGGTGTGCCACCATGTCTGGCTTTTCATTGTTTTCGGAGACAGGGTCTCGCTATACAGGCTTGGCTGTCTTGAAACTCACTGCTTAGATCAGGCTGGCTTCAGATGTACAGAGATCTGTCTCTCTCTGCCTCCTGAGCACTGGGATTAAAGGTGTGTGCCACCATGCCCTGTAGTGACAGTAACTTGTAAAATCCTAAAAAGTACCTTAATGCCACTTAAGCAACAATATCCATGAAGTTACAATTTGATATGCTTGGAATGTTTCTCTGATATTACATTAAATGAGTAGGTTTTCATTTAGACCACCTAAAATCAGCTTTATACTTTGGAAAATATTGCTCTGGTTCCTTGTTCATGTATGGAAGCTAAAAGGTTAGTGAGATTAAATATCTTTGTTTCTTATCGCAAAGCAAGTTTCCATAGAGGTGTGAATAGAGGACACCTCTGAGTATGTCACAGTTAGAGGCGGAGCTATGGCTGCAACCCAGGAAATGTGACTTCTAGATCAGGCCTCTATCACATCATACTAGTCCCATGGTTGCCATTAAGATACATGCTCATTAATGGAGATGGAACTAGAATCCAGATCTTTCTTAAATCTAATGAATCCTTAAAAAAAAATACAGTCTTGCTCTATAGTCTAGATAGTCCTCAAAATCATAAACCATCTGCTTCATCTTCCCAAGTGCCTGAGATTACAGGTGAATTCCACTCTGCTTGCCTTAAGTCCAGTTAATAATAATAATAATAATAATAATAATAATAATAATAGCAATAATAGATGAATCCTGTGCTTTCTGGATGTGAGTTCTATTCTTTGATATGGAGAGAAAGATGGTAGCTAGGATGGACTAAGCAGATCATAGATCTATTTCCTAGCTTATCACTACCACTGGGAGAGGATGGGATCAGGTGGTTTCTAGGGGAAATATTCTGTCCTGAAATCTTTCATTTATAACAAACAGAGCAAATCCAGTTTGCTTATCTGAGAGAGTTTTGATCAAGTAGACTGAGCAGGTAATTACCTTGCTCTTCTAGCTCTAGCTTAGAACTTAAATCCTATTAGCTCCACATGTCCTGTCTGTAAAATAGGCTTTACCAATCCGTGCTCTCATGATACCACAGAGCTTCTTGGAGGCAAATCAGGTAAGCCATAGGCTGTCAACAGCAGTAAGAAAATTAAATGCCCCAATGAGCTGAGAGATCTTGGTTACAGGAACCTGTTCCCTGTGGAGGAAAGATGCTGTTTCTTATCAAAGATAACAGGAATACAAGAGACTTCCTGGTGGCTTTTCCTCATCCTGGACACTCTCAAGTTCTCATTTCCTTATTTTTCTGTCCTAGATTTACTATTCTGAAGGTGGACAAGCTTCAGCTATTGGTCAATTCAAGGATCGAATTATAGGGTCCACTAATCCAGGTAACGCGTCTATCACTATATCTCATATGCAACCTGCAGACAGTGGACTTTACATCTGTGACGTTAACAACCCCCCAGACTTTGCTGGAAAAAACCAAGGCATCCTCAGCGTCACTGTATTAGGTACGGACATTTCCCCTTGTTTTTCCTTTTCTTGAATCAAATTAGCATACTGAATGAGTCAGGGCACTGAGTTATGATGTCATTGGAGTTGAGTGCCCCTCCATTCTTTTATTATCAGACAAATAGAAATAGTTGTTCAACTCAATCCATACAGTAACACTGAAAAATTACCATAAAACATATAGAAATAGTAGTCAGAACAAAAGAGCTACCAAAAAGACACAATAGACAGCCTGACTTTTAGAAATCCCTAACTCTGAAGGATGCCATGAAATGAGTGATTGCCCACCAAATAATCACCAGTAACACTTTGAGGAGGAACTTCCAATTAGAGTCACACTTAACTAGAAGAGAGAACTGTCAACTTAGAGCTTCTTCCAAGTCCATGACTGTTCTTAACATTAAATCATCCCCTCAAATAAAAGCAGAAGGACCCCTCTTTATTTATTTTTACATTTAATTCAATTTTATTTGAGACAGAGTCTTGTGTACCCAAAGCTTGCTATGTAGCTTAGGGTGACCTTGAACTTTTGATGAAGAAGTTCCCTTTTTTAAAAATGATAATGCTAGCCAGGTGTGGTGGCACATGACTTTAGTCCCAGCACGTGGGAGGTAGAGGCAGGTGAATCTCTGTGAGTTCAAGGCCAACCTGACAGCCAATGTTCTTAACTGCTGAGCCATCTCTCCAGCCCCAAAAGATAGTTTTAAAATCCTGTTTGTTGGGCGTGGTGGCGCACGCCTTTAGTCCCAGTATTCAGGAGGTAGAGGCAGGTAGATTTCTGTGAGTTCAAGGCCAACCTGGTCTACATAGTGAGTTCCAGGCCAGCTGAGGCTATACGGAGACCCTGTCTCAAAAAGACCCCCCCCAAAAAAAAACCCAAACAAACAAATAATGCTATTTGGAAAAGTATCATACATTAAGCCATTATTGAGAATAAAGTTATGATAAAAACACATTTATTATATGACAGTAGACAAGTCATATCTGCTGTTAAAATAAACTTGGAGTAGTTCATTCAGTGTTTACTGGTGTCCCTACTTTGTGCCATGATAGATAAGCTTTACAGTAATGAAGACATGGTTTCTGCCCTTGAGGAGCTCCCAATTTGGGTGATTTCTCGGGATCCTTCTAACTCCTGAGAAGACACTTGGGGCTAAGGACCTATCTGCAGACTCTAGATTGGCAAGTACTAAAGGGAATCAAGAAAGGGCTAGCAACCCTTTACCAACTAACCAGTAGACTAAGCATTTAGCTAATCACTACTCCTGTCAGTTTTGGGTATATGCATCACTGGAAAGGAGGAACTAAGTCGAATCAGTGACTCAATAGTTGAGGGGCTTACAGAAGCAACACATGGCAATAAAGTACACATCCCAAGAACTGTCCACAATTGTCTTGCTATCCATGTGATGCCAAAGAGAACTACTCAGTGCCTATGTTGAGGTTTGCCACTGCATCTCCCTGCCTGAAAAAAAAAGGGAAGGTACTCAAGGGCTAATGTTTAAGATTGGGTTAACGGATCTGGAGAGATGGCTCAGCAATTAAGAGTGCTGCTCTTGAAGAGGACCTGGGTTGTATTCCCAGCACCCACATTTCAGCTATCAACCATCCATAACTCTAGTTCCAGGGGATCCAATGCCCTCTCTGACCTTCTTGAGCATTACAAGACATGGGTGCACTTACATATATGCAGGCAATAGAGTCATACACATTAAATAAAAATAATAAATAAAATATATTTTTAAATAGACTGGGTCTACTCAATAGATTGTGCTGTATTGTGCTGAGCCCTAGGCCAGGTGTTAGGGTGTAGGAATAGATGAACACCTTTGTAGGAGAGCTTACGTTCTCGCTCAGACAACTAGTCAGATATATGGGGAAAGCATGCGCCATAAGTGCCAGAAAACATCAAACTGAAAATCAGAAAGAAGCTTCTAGGCCTTACTCTGTTCTCAGTGACCTCATGCAAGTCAGTCCACCATTCCCTTGCCATGGTGTGATAGACTGTAATTGTCTCATTTGCTGATTTATTATGAGAATCCAATTAGATGCTGGGGATTAAAGAGCCTTTCAATGCTCAAATAATTTGAAGGATTAATCCTCTGATGATTTCTGTTGCTCTTCTGGCTCTGGAGTGATCTGCACAGAACCAGTCTTTAAGATGAGGCTTGGAAATAGCCCTGAGATAAATATAGACAAAAAATTAATATTCTCAAATTTGAAGCTCAGATGATTCCAAGTGAATCTTCATAAGAAATTGAAGATAGCTTGCTACTTTTTTTTTTCCTTGAGACTTTGGGTCAGAAAATTCTTGCCATAACTGTGTTATGACTTTTCTTGAAGTCGTCTGAACCCATAAAAGGTAAGATAGGTAAAGTGTCCATGGATTTCCTCGTTCAGAAACTCTCAAAAATTCTTTTTATTAATTGGGTGGAGAACAAAGTCATACTATGAATTTTAGCCTTCCAGAAATGAAAGATGATAAATTATCTCTGAAAGTTTTAAAATCCATTTTCAGTTTTCAAAATAACACTGTGTATGAACATCAGTATACTCTGATTAGGCCTGGGTAAGTATAGATAGATAGGTAAGTGAGATCAGTTGTGAGGGAGAGATTGCTATTTCATTAAGGATGGCTCTTCATAGCAATGAGTCTTTAAGAGACATCTTCTCAACTAGAACAGATATCAGTTCAATGTATTTGCTTGTGCATTCATGAATTCTTTAAGCAAAGCCTAAGCACATGTTTCAGATACATTTCTAAACATTAGAAATGGGAAGATGTAAAAGACAGGGTCTTAGCCCTCCCAAAATCCAATCGAGTGAGGAAGACAGATTGCATAAAAGCTTTTGACGGGAGTTATCAGAAAAAAAGCTGTGGGGCCAACAGGGAAAAAGATACCTAAGGGGACCTAGAGAAGGCTTATCAGGGAAAGAGACTTTAGTGCTGGATGTGGAAGGATGTGCAAGAGCATGCCAGGCAGAACAGGAACAGGGTACAATTCAGGTGAAGAACACAGCAGTGAGTATAGAAGGAGGTGGTTTGACTGGCCAGCCATTTAAGGGATTTCCATTAGTTATGACAACCTTGGGAAATCAATCTCTGAAAAATATCCAGATCAACTCTGAATAATTATGTGTCCATTTAGAATTAGCACCCTCTTCATTCTGCAGTTTGGCCCATAAAAATGATTTACTTAGAGAAGGTATGTGAACACAAGCGTTTTCATTTATTTTCTGAGGTGAGCTTTTTCCTTCCACCCCAATTCTGATGAAAGCAATAAAGCTAACAGGCAATCTACGGCTTTGCCAGTAAAACATACAAGCTCTTCTGGGGAATTTAACTGGATAAAAGTCAGCTCAATTATGATTCAGGAATTTTAGAAGATATATAGGTTTGGGACTTGGTTCAAAACGAGTCATCTAGTGTTTTTAAAAATAAAAATAATAATAAAAGGAGAGATATGTGCTTACCAAAGAAGAAGAAAAAGATGGGGAAGAGGAGGATGAAGAGGAGGAGGGACAGGAAGAAGAAGAGGAGGAGGAAAAGAGGAGGAAGAGGAGAAGGTAGAGGAGAAGAGGAGGAGGAAGGAGAGGAAGGAAGGAAAGGAAAGAAAAAAGGAAGGGGAATAAAGGAGAGAGGGAGGAGGGAGGGGAGAGGGAGAGGGAGAGGGAGAGGGAGACAGATCCTTACCTGGATCTGAGTCCAGACTCAAGGAATAAGTGCAAAATATTCTAGGTTGCTCTCCATAATTTAGTTCAAGTCCTGGTGTCTGAGTTTTTTGTGATAAAATAGCCACATATTTTCTGTTCAAATTATTCTGTCCTGCTATGAAATTCTGATCTTTTCAAAACCTAGTGATAGTTGAATGGTCTAGTTAAACAGCCTAGTTTAAGATAGATGAGTCAAGTTTTCCCATCTCAAAGGCATTGAAAGGAAGAGAGACTCAACATCTAAATAGAAAACACCAGTTTTCAAGGGATAGTGAAGCATTGCAAAGGGATGCATCTATCTTCTCTCTCATGTATATAAACTATTTGAGTTTGAGATGGCTTACAAGAACAGAAGTTATTAGAAATTTAATAGCAAAATTTAGTTCTGTCCATTGCCAACAGCAACTCCATGTGCAGGGCCCTATCTATGGTATTTTGTCTAATCTTTTGACCGACCAGAGGTTAGATAATCTCTTATTTCTATTTTATAGATCACCTGGTTTGAAGTTTACTTATGTTAGTTAAGTTGCCCAAACACCTCTAGGGTAAAGTTACAGAGCTGATACTCTGTGGATACAGAGGCTGTGATCTTAACTGTGTCCCACAGAAGAGCTAAAGGGATGGTTGATCCAAAGCATTTAAGGTACAACTCAACTAAGTTAGAGAATGTTAGCCATTAGAGGGAGAGTATGGTGGCATATGCCTGTAATTCCAGCACTTGGGAGGTGGAAGACAGTGATCAAGAATTCAAGGTCATACTGCATAGCAAGTTCAAAGTGAGTCCAGGCTACATGAGACCTTGCCTCAAAAGACTAAAAAGCAGCTAAACAAACATAAAACCTCCAAAAAGATGAGGATAAGTTGAGAGGCACAGAACTTGAGATCATATCTGTGTGTTATTAAGGACAGAATAAATGGTGCCAAGTAAGGAGAATGGGGGGATTCAGATCCCCAACTTCCCACAGAACTTCCCCATCCTGTTGTCACAAGCAGCTAAAAATCAGCATATCCCAAATTGCCCTGAGTAACACTCCTTCCTCCTCTTCATCCCTTCCTCTGAAACCTGATTTTTCACCTGCATTTCTTTATTTCAGGTGATGGCAAGATCATGGCTCAAGCTGTCCAAATAAGAAGCCCAAGAGTCAGCATAGATCTTACCTCTTCCTCATCCTCCACAGCTAGTTACTCACCAACTCTTGTTGACTCTACTTTCTAAAACCTCTTGACTCTTTCTCTATTTTCCCCTTGGTTCAGGTAACCCTCCGTGTGAGAGAGACCCATCCAGAGTATTAAAGTAACCATCATTACTACCTTACTTAAACTCCTTTTGTGATCTCCTTGCTCTGAAACATACAGAGGCTCTCCCATCGCTCCCAATCCCACTTCAGAACTGTGACAAAGTTCTTTTTTGAATCTCCAGTGCCTGGTCCAGTGCTGGGTAGACAGAAGGCACATAGCTAAATGCTTGCTGAATGAAGAAAGAATAAAGATTGTAGTATACAGCACAAATGCCTGATGGGCTTCCTCTACTGAGGAAGGACACAGGAAAAATTCAAACCTCTCAGCAATTTTGAGTCACCTATGGATGAATGAGCAGAAAATTGACTCACAAAGGAATTGAAAAATAGAGTATTAATAATATATTTTTTAAAGAATTAAAATGGGTTATTTCAAAGTATTTAAGGATTCTATTTTCATTTATGACTGCTTTTAAAATACAAGCTGTGTTTCTTCTCAGAGTTTGCTTACATTTTGCAGTCTTAATAGAGGTATAGTTTAGGATACAATGCAGAAATGTTATAAAATTGGGGGAGGAGGCAGACAGAAGAGACACTATTTGAATCTTAATGGCCTCCTGGCGAGATGGTTTCTGCAGCTGAAGTGCTCTACTCCCATCTGGTGGCATAATCAGAAATTGTCCAGAAACGTTTTTAAAGGACAGCAATAATAATATTAAATACATACTCTACAAATTGAAGATGAGACAGTGACTACAGTTGTCACAAACTGCCGCCCATCTTGCAGGAATCTTACTCTTTGTCATTGTTTTACAGTAAAACCTTCCAAGCCCTTTTGTAGCATCCATGGAAGACCAGAAACAGGCCACCTGATATCTTTGTCTTGCTTCTCTGCATTTGGGACACCATCTCCTGTGTACTACTGGTATAGAATTGAGGGAGGAAACATCGTGCCAGTGAAAGAAAGCTTCAGTGAGTAGACCGTGGCAAGGCCTGGTATTTGGAGTTGGCTGACAGTATGTGTTTGCTGGCTGCTTGTCCATAATGCTCAAATATTTCTCCTTCTTGGTGTCAGTGTGTGTAGCGGGGGAGGTGTGGCTTAAAAAGGATGTGTCTTCTAGCATGATGATGTGGTTATGTCTACTTCCCAAAGTCTAGAAATCAGCTGCAAGGTGACGAGTATATAGCCATGGTCTTAGGTGGGTTACTTTTGGAACATCACCAAGGACTTGACTGGATCCTAGACATCTCAAAAGAGGCCACACTGTGGGAAACTGGGTGGGCATTAAATGATGTTACACTGACATGATTGATACCCGTACATAAGATCTTAAAAATCTATTTCTTATTTTCGATAGACTCAACAACTGGGATTTTGAATATTGGAAATCTGACAAATTTTGAACAAGGTTATTATCAATGTATTGCTGTCAACAGCCTCGGCAATAGTTCCTGTGAAATTGACTTAAGCTCTTCACGTGAGTTGAACATATGACTTTCATAGTTTCTCGTTAGGTCAAGTAGCCTGGGCCTGCCAGTTGAACACATTAATTAGAATCTGTGGTTAGTCTTTCCTGCCTCTCTGGAGATTTGTGTGCTTTATTGGTAAGGTGATAGGGTGAATGATAACCCTAATATCTAATTCTTATATAATAATATGTTCCCTAAATCCCTCACCAAGCAAAATGTATTTAAGCTTCATAATGCCTCTAGAAAATAAATATTACTATTTTATAAATAAAACAATAGGCTTATTGATACTAACGGACTGGATTTATCTTTATTAAACTATTGATAAATCCAGGTGACTGTTTAGCTATCTTTGTCAAACATATAGCTCACAAACTTTCTGGTTTTAACTGCCTTGTTAAGACATGACAGTTAGAAAACACGTCTAGAAAACATAGGGAAAGCAAGATAAAGGTATGGGTAAGACTTTTTGTAAAGGACTTCAATAGCTCAGGAAATAGCAAGAATTGACAAACAAGGTTATGTGAAACTAAGAAGCTTCTACACAACAAAGTAAACAATGAACTGAGGAAGAGATAACCTAGAGAATGGGAGAAAATCTTTATCAACCATTCATCTGACAGAGGATCAATATCATCCAGAATGGATGAACTGAAAAACAACAAACAAATATAATCAGTCAATAGCCCAGACTGGCTTCAGACTCATCATCTTTCTGCCTTGGCCTCTTGAATGCTAGGATCACAGAGCACACACTGGCACATCTAGTCCTTTAAATATAAGAAGTTGAAAGAAATATTAAGCAACTTAACTGTTTCTCATCTCAAAAATAAACTGTTAATCCTTGTTTAAGTGGAAATAGATGGGGATGAACTGGCTTGGGACCCAGACATGCTGTGTCAGGGACAGCACCTTTGGGCTTGAAGGTCTGGTGCCCAGCTGGATTGTCTCACACTCATTAAATTTTTCCATAGACTGATGTAATAAACCAGATGCTTGTTTATCCAGCTGGTTGTATCCTTTCCCAGTGGCCAGAATGCAGGAGACTCCTGAGTGAGCCAGGAGTATGATGGGAGGTTTTTAGGGATGGTATTTTTTTAAATTTTACTTAGGTTCTTGGAAAGCCTGATGAAATGTCCTTGCCTATAAAAGAGAATGTTTATGGTGGCCAGATTGCAGTCCGATGGTCTCTCTATATCTCTGGCCAAATAAATGCACACTGAAGACTTTTTTCTCCTAAATCCTGCTTTAAAAGCAAATTTGCTTGCCGAGTGAGCATATTTCTATTTGCTTGTATAAATATCAATGTCAAGCTACACAGTCAAGCCTCTCACACATTTTAGCCATTACGAACCTAACTAGCAGAGTTCTAGGGGTTTTTATGTCCTCCACCGATACTGTCATTTCCCTGCTATGTGAATCTTCCAAATATATTCCACTGGTCACAGATTCATGTATATAAGAAGAAAATATGTTCTGCTTTATCAATTGTCTGTATGTGTCCTCCAGATTCAGAAGTTGGGATTATCATTGGTGCCTTGATTGGAGCCCTAATAGGTGCTGCCATTATCATCTCCGTGTTTTATTTTGCAAGAAACAAAGTTAAATCAAAGCAAAGGAAGAAGATTAGCAACCCCAGAACGGAACTTGAGTAAGTCTTTATTTACTTAAATGCACATATTCATATTGCTGTCTTTACTTGAATACAAACATCTCTTGGAAATATCATTCAGGAGTCTCTTCCCAAGCACTCCTTTCAGCTTAACATAGCAAGCTAACCAACTTTCTGTTTACCCTCACTACTTTCCCCAAATGCATGATAGGCCCTGTTTACTGAGCTCTGTGTGAAGAACTCTGTTTTAAGTACTTTCTTTATATCAACTTATTTAATCATCACAACAGTTCTTTTAGGACAGAGAAAATACTTTACGATATGTTAACACTTATTTTTATGCCAACACAGTCATAAACACACTTATGAATATTTTAATGGAACGAGAGGCTTATAAAGTCAAAAGTACATTAGTGCCTACAGAAGTCAGAATTTTGTCCAACCCACAGCCTACATAATTTTTAATTTTTAAAAAATTTTTATGTGTATGAGTATATTGCCTTCATATGTGTAAGCGCACCCATGTCCTGCAATGCCCAGGGAGGTCAGAAAAAGGTATTGAATTCCCCTGGAACTGGAGTTATGCAAGGTTGTTAGCCGCGATGCAGGTGCTGGGAACTGAACCCGGGTCCTCTGTAAGAGAAGTCAGTGCTCTTAACCACTGAGCCATCTCTCCAGCCCAATTTTTAATTTTTTAAAAATTAATTTGCTTTTATTTTATGTATGTGTTGCCTGCTTGTATGTAAGCGCACTCCTGCATGTAATGCCCAGGGAGGCCAGAAGTGGATATTGAATCCCCCAGAACTGGAGTTATGGACAGTTAACTACTGTGTGGGTGATGGGAACCAAACCCAAGTCCTCTTCTAGATCAGTCAGTGCTCTTAACTACTAAGCCATCTCTTCACCCCCCTGCCCCCCAGCCTCTGTTCTTAGTCTGATACTTCCTCTACTGTATAGGTCACACTCCTTTGCTTGTTCACTCTTCTATTTTCTTGATTTCACAAATATATATTGCAAACCAATCAGAAGCCAAGTATTATGCCAAGTAGAGAGAGATGAATGTGAGCTATGAATTTGGCCCTCAAGTACATTATTGGATTCTCAGACTCTTGTCCTATCAGCTTCCTTCATTTTAAAGCTGATCTGTCTTTCTTGAACTTTCATACTGCTGCGATCTAATCTTTCTCAACTCCAAAATGGACTCAGGTGGTCTGATAGGCAGTCAAAATATCAGAATAGGGGCTGGAGAGATGACAGTGGTTAAGAGCTTGCAGCAGACTTGGGTTCAATTTCTAGCACCAACATGACAGCTAACAACTGTTGTAACTCCAGTTCCAGGGGATCTGACACCCTCTCCTGACCTCTGTGGGCATTGCACAACACATACATATAGGCAATATACTCATACACATAAAATAAAAATAGCAAACTATTTTTTAAATATTCAGAATAAACAGATGGCCTTAACAGTCTGGGACCTATATATGACTAAAGCAACTATGTATGGCTCCCTGTGAAATTTCCAAGTTAGCATTTCCCTAATGTGTTTTTCTGGAAATTCTTTCTTGTAGACCAATGACAAAGGCAAGCCACATCCGAGACACTGAAACAATTCCAACTGAAGACATCCAGCTAGGAGCAACTTTGCCATCTTCCACCCATGGCACCGGACCTGATACCATCTTGAAACTGGGATATGAGGCTACCCCCCAGCTAGAATCTGCTTCCCAGGCTGACCCAGAACCAGATCCAATAGTGGTGCCTGAGATGGAGATTCACCTGGAGACAGAGACCGAGCCTGAGATTGAGCATGAGCCTGAGCCAGTGTCTGGGATTGTAATCGAGCCTCTGGTTGATGAGGAAAGTGATGTTGTTAAGGCATAGTCTGGCACCTTAATTATGGCATTCGTCACTAAGGAACCTACACCTGCCCTTTGAAATTCACTTGACTTAGCCTCCAGTTTCTCCCTCTGGTCAACCCTCATCTAATATGGTGCTCATTCTCACCATTAATCAAAAAAAAAAAAAAAATCAAGGTAACTGCTAAATAAATGCAAGAGTTCCTATATTCTTAGTATAGATTACTTAAAATTGTACATAAGCATAACAAATGGCAGTCAAGTGGTTGATTTCTAACTCAGTTGAAAGAGTATTTGCAATAGCATCTGGGTCATACTGCTGAAAATATCTTCTATATTTTTTAGCTGTTCTTTGTCATGATCCACATGTATACATGACAAGGTGGAATTAATCTGATTGTTATTTCTAGGATTAGTTGTCAGTCTTCTGTATTCATTTCTATATTTAGCACTAAGAAAACAAATTGACAGCATTGGTTCATAGATTAGAAAAAATGTTTTCCAAAAATAAAAGAATATCTATTGATATGTGCTAACTAAAGAGTATTTATTAATTGGCACATACCATTTAAAATGAAGTCTTAATAGTTTACTATGTTAGATTTTCCAGTAAATCATTTTGGTGTCTAATACCTCAGTATAGCAATTTTTATATGACCTAATTTTTCTCTGCCAAATGATGTACAGGTAAACCATTTCAAATAAAATTTTCCTTTGGTGAACAAAAAGTGTTGATATTATAGGCAATATAAAATTTACCTTTAAACAAGCTATTATGTTATCACTGTCTGATACCATCAATTTTGAAGTGGGGTAGACTAGGAGAGTATCTACATGAACACTTAGATCTATTTTAGATAATCTTAACAAGTAATTTAAATAATCTGTTTTACTATTCATATACTCCATATTAATATAAATATCACTATTATGTAAATGCTAAATATTAACTAAAAGCATTGATATTGTCTCTTCACTATTAACAAAATATTTTATGATTATATTTCACTGATATCCTATGCTGAAGAAATTTACAGGTAGACTTACATTTTTTACATATGCAATCAATCATATTTTAAATCTTATTTTAAGGTTCAATAAATAATGTTCAACAAAAATCTCATTTAGTGACACCTAAGATAAATTATTTAATAAACAACTTTATTGCCACATAATTCATGTACTATAAACTGTATTCATTTTAACTGTACAGTTTGATGAGTTTTGATATTTGCTCATACCCATGAAATGACATTCCTATGTAGATAGAGAACATTTCCATTAACCCCAAAGAGTTTCCTCATATCCCTTTGTATAATTCCATTGTGCTCTGAACTTAGATAACCACCGATCTGTTTTCCACCTCTAAAAGTTAGCTGTGTATTTTGCTGACTTTAATATGAATAGTATCATATAAGTATATACTTTTGTGTCTGCCTTTCTTCTAAGATAAATTCTTTTCAAGGGAGGAAATGGGTCTCTATCACATTCAAGATTTATGTAAAGAATTCTCTTGAACTGAAAACTCCTCTCTCTATAGATCATGCCCATAGTAGTAACTGAGGTAAAGTCTCTGGACATTTTAAGGTTGATTGAAATGAAATTTAACTAATGTTAATTACTTGTCTCAAGCCATGAGAAGAGATAGAAAGCTTTTACCCATTACATGTTTAATGAGTCAATTTGGAGCCAATGTCAGGGATTTCTGAAGCACCCATGGTTCCATTAACAGGTGAAATACAATATAATGCTATGACATATAGTGCCTGATGTGTACAGGAAGAAAACTGATGAAGGGTCTAAAGAATGACCTAATTTTTAGGTATTGTAAACAACAAAATCAGAATGTCTAAGTAGTTGGAATTAAATTTTCTTGTCCATTTCTATTATGAAGACATCACAAGAAAAGAGATTGACATGTAATACTCAATAACTATAGCCTGAACGGATCACTGTTGGCCAGGAAGTTAGGTATTATTGGTGGCCTTAAATAGTTCTGTTCTTACTAATACTGTTCCACTCAAAATGCTGATGAATAGTTGGATCATTGATTTTTTTTTTCGCATTAAAAAAAAATTTTTTTTGGTCTTTTTGAGACAGAGTCTCCCTGTAGCCCCAGTTATCCTGAACTATGTAGACCAGGCTGGCCTTGAACTCACAGAGATCTGCCTGTCTCTGCCTCCCGAGTGCTGGGATTAAAGGCATGCACCACCACGCCTGGCTTAAAAATTTTTTAAAATTATTTTTATTTTGAATATATAAGAATGTTTTGCCTGAATGTACGTAAGTGTACCCATGTTGTGCAAAGCCCACAGAGGCCAGAAGAGGGTGTTGGATCCCCTGGAACTGGAGTTCCAGATGGTTGTTAGCTGCCATGTAAGTGCTGGGAATCAAACCCAGGTCTTCAGGAAGAATAGCAAGTGTTCTTAACTGCTGAGTCATCTCTCCAGTCCTGATTTTTTTTCACATTGTTAAGGTCATAGATCACCTTGCAAATCTGCTGAAAACTCTAGAGCCCTTGCCATTTAGCTTCCTTATACACCTAAGGTGTCAAATACAAGCTTTTGGTTGTTGTTGTTGCCTTTAATGTTTTTATTAATCATTTGAGAACTCCATGATTTTGATCACATTATCTCCCATTCTTCCCTTAACTCTTCTCCAATTGACCCCCACCTCTCCAGTCCCCTCCCAACATCATGTCCTCTTTTTATTTGTAACCCACAGAGTCCTATTTGTGCTGCCCATATACTCACGGGTCCACACATAGGCCATCCACTGGAGTGTGATAGACCTACCAGGAGCTACATACATCCTTAAATAAAAGTGGCTTTCTCTCTGAGAAGCCATGAAACCATCCGTAGCTCTCCAGTTAGGGTTGGGGCATAGCGAGACCCTCCCCACTTGTGCAGTACATTGACTGACTTGATCTTGTGAAGGTCTTGTGCAGGTAACCACAGATGCTATACATTCATTAGTGCAGTGGTCTTGTCATGTCTAGAGGACAGTTTTGCCCCTGTCCTCCCTGACCTCTCTGGCTTTTACAACCTTCTTGCCCCCTCTTCTGAGATTATCCCTGAGCCTTGGTAGGGGTATAGTATAGATATCCCATTTGTGGCTGAGCTGACATTTATTCTCTGTACTTTGCCCTGTGGTGAGTTTCTGTGTTAACCACCACACACTGCACAATGAAACTTTTCTGATGAGTTCTGAGAGTTGCACTGAAGAGAGATAAGAATTTAGAGGGCAGTTTAATACTATATTCATTTGGCAAAATAATAGATTTACCCTTGGGACCCATAAATTCCCTACCATGGACTGTTGGACAGATTTACAGTACCAGGCATGTGTTTCCTCCTGTGGAACAGGTCTTAAATTCAAGCAGAAAGTGGTTACCCCCATAACATTTGTGCCATTGTTGAACTCAATGGCATATCTTGCAGTTCCAGGGCTCACAGACAGGTAAGGCTGTTGATGACTTTTTTCCCTCAGCAGCCTACCATAGCACCTTCCAGTACAAGGAAAGCTACCCAGCGGGAAGGAAGCTTCCTAATCAGTATCAACTTGATTTATCCATGTTCTATGACCAAATATGTGGTGTCTTCAGGAATCTTCACTGGTGACCTTCAAAGGTCTTAATATTGAGTTCTGATGGGCAACCAAGATTAGGGTGTCACATATAGTCTTAGTAACTTACAGACTCCCTGAATTCAAGATTAAGCATTAACTTAGATACAAACATAGATGCACACTTAATAAGTCTGTGGATGACTTGATCTTGGGGGATTTGAATGGCTATTATACTATATGACAAAATTATGATTCAAAATGACTTGGGGGACTTGGAAGTTCATTGAAATCAACAAAATGAATTATATAGGGGTGGAAGGAAAAGTCAGAATTTCAAAATACAGAGTACGTGTTGTCCATGTCAAAACCCTAGGTGGGCAGGGCTGGAAAGAATGTGAGCTTAATCTGTAATAGTACCTTTGAATCTTTCCTGTCGTCACCTTTCTGGCCTCTATGGCATCTTATATCTGTAGTGGTACCTTTGGATCTTTCCTGTCGTCACCTTTCTGGCCTCTATGGCATCTTATTTGCCACATATTCAGGATGCCCTTGATCCTACTAGCTTAGGGAACTTCTCAGGAACATACCTCTCAGGCAAGATTCATTTCTCAGGAACTACATGCTGGCCTTTGTGACATATTTTCCACACACTCTGGATACCCATGCTCCTATTAGCTTAGGAAACTTCTCAGGCATGTATCCCTTAGGCAGGATTCATTTCTCAGGAATTACATCTACCCTTACCTAACCTTTTCAGATGTGGCTGCTCTGTAACTGTTCTTGTCCAGTAAACATGAAATTTCATCATCCAGTGATCTCATTCAGGTTGATGAACAAGTTAATTATCTCAAGAAGTATTTGCTTTTTTTGAACCCAAGTCTTTCTATGTAGTCCAGGCTTGTCTCAAACTCATGGACTCAACTGATCCTCCTGTCTCAGCTTCCTGAGTATGCCTGTTACTGCAGGTGTGTGCCATCACATTGAGCTCACAAATAGTTCCTTTGTTTGTTTGTTTGAGGCAGGGGCTCAATACATAGTCTAAACTGCCTTTCAATTTATGACAATTCTGATTTGGCTTTCTGAGTGGTGGTATTATAGATGTGAGCCACCATGCCCAGTTTAGTATTTGCTTAAATTTTTCTTTACAATTCTCTCTCCCTCTCTCCCTCTCCCTCCCTCTCTCCCTCCCTCCCTCCCTCCCTCCCTCCCCCCTCTGTGTGTATGTGTGTGTGGAGAGCAAGCCAAGGCACATGTATGGTGGTCAAGGAACAACTTGAGGAAGTTGGTGGGTCCTGGGTATTGAACTCAAGTCATCAGGCTTGGCAGTGTCTTGCCATTTCAAGGCCTCCAATAAGTGCTTTTTAAGAATCACATGTGTGTGAGTGCAGGCACTCGTGTAGAAGTCTGAGGACAATCTTGAATGTTAGCCCTCACTTTCCATCTTGTTTGCCTTTTTGG